ATGGCTTCTTTACTCTTTACTTATTTTAGTAATTTGGTTTTTTGAAAGATTAGTTATTTAGTAATTTATTTATTTATTTGTATTTTCAGAAATTTGCTAATATTATACTCCCTCCGTTCTCTAATAGTTGGCCTTCTTTCCATTTTGGGATGTTCTCTATTAGTTGTCCCCCTTTCCACTTTTGGTAAGTTTTTTCAATAAATATACCCATTTACCCTCATTCTCTTTCCTACTTTTTCATTCTCTTTCCTACTTTTTCCTTTACACACAACCCACTACACCTTTTATACTACCCCTATTAATTTCATCTTAAATCTTGTGCCAAAGCCTATACTCCCATCTATTAGAGAACGGAGGGAGTATTGGATTGCTGAAAATGTGATGTCTAATTGATTTGTCATATGTGAATGCCTAATGAGTTAATTTTTAAATTTTTAAATACTAGTTGATTCTTGTTTTTTTAGATGGATGTTTTTCTAATGCATACCTTATATACAAGATCTTGTTGACGATAACAATAACAAGTGCAGAAAGAAGTTTTACAAAACTAAAACTTTTTTACGATCAACCGTGTCTTAGGAAAGGTTGAATGGATTAGATGTGTTATCAATTGAGAAAAATTGTTCGACAAGTTGTACTCCGTACTTAATAAGCTGTTTTAGTAAATTCAATGTCATTTTGTTACAATGTGAGTTTTTCATTTAAAAATCGCGTTTTTGTGATATTTAATCATTAGTTTTGAATTAATGTAAATGATAAACAAATACTATGTATAGAGCCCATTTTATGAAGTTTGACTCAGACCCGAGTTTAAGTAGGAACGGCTTAGAATTTCTAACTCATGTTCTAAAATTATAACTTGACACTATAGACCTTAATAATAAAATCATGTTCTTGCTTGCTTTTGATCTTGCATATATTATATTTTGAGCAAATTGAATATTGATGGATACGTACTGATAGACATGTTCCTACTTCTTTTCAATTTTTTAATTTTTTAAGTGTAAACTTTTTCATTCTCATATGTAATACTACCTATGTCCAAATTTGATGGTCATGTTTCTTATTCACTTAGTCAACACAAATCAATCTTAACCTCCTATTTTATATATCAAATTTTTGTCAAATTTGATTTTGATTTTTGCGATTGTAAAACTTCTAATGTAGTTTTTGAATTTGTAATTATTTTTCTAATAATAACCTAAAAGTGCAATCAGTGATCCGTTTGCTTTACAGTCAGTCAAATCTCGTAAACCGCAATCAGACCATTAAATTGGGTCGGAGGGAATAAAAAAAGTTTAATATAATTTTCTTCAAACCTAGTCAGATGGTTGGATGTAATTATTTTTCATGGTCGTCTATTTTGTTATTCCTACACAGTACACATTAAATAAATTTGGGCTGGTGTACTCAAATCATTGGGCCGGTGTAGGTAGTGTGCTACTGAATAGATCAATAGGCTGGCTAACTAAAATATTGGATTGCTTATGGGCCCCTTGCTAGATCGGTAGGCTGAACATTTTTAAATTGGGCTGAGTTTTGAGGAACAAGCCCTGGCCAAGACGGGTTCATCGGACTGATTGCAGTGAAATAAAGAAGGAGTTGACCCAGCATTGACTACAGAGTTGACTAAATCATTGACCAGAACATGTGAGACCGTAAGAGTGTAAGACCAAAGTAACCGGCTCTCGTAAACTCGAGGTGTGGATTTACAACTTTTGTATTTTTTTTTATAGAAAAAAGCGGCTTATCTTGATAATGAAACATTTTGCAAGGGACAAAAGAGATAAATAGAACAATTCCAGCCACCGACCATCGAACCAACTTGAGAACCAATCACCCTAGACAGGGCAATATGATTCCCCAATTCTGTAATGGGTCTAAATGAATCTTACGTGGCCAAAGCAAAACCCTCATCATCCATGCCTAATGTAAGAGTCTGACAGAGAAATAAACATACATGACAAACAAAACAGCATGACGTTCGAAGTAAAAACACAAGCAAACTAAAACAAAAATAGAGATAGCCTTCCTAACCCTAGTCTCACAAATCCTCCATAGTCGCGGTTAAGGAGGGGGACGAATCAACATCTCTTCGTTTTCTTTTTCCCAAACGGGATCAACCGCAGAACGCTCTTCATTCATGTCAGGGTTCCCTCCGATCGACTGTGAGGAGACGCCGCCCCACTCCTGCTCCTTCCTCCGCAAAACCAGCCCAAGCAAAATCATCTGCAGAGTCGAAACCCCCCTGTCCCTTCTGGCCGCACCCCTCCTACGCGAACACAAAAACAAAGCCGAAAAAAGCAGAGCCGTCATCGCAATAGCCAACGACTTTAGTCGAAATTTTAAGGCCAAAAACAAAAGGAAACCGAAAACAAAGAACGAAAACCAACGCTCCAAGCCGAGAAGGAATCTCGGAAAATCAAGGAAAGAGAGTCGTCACCAGCGTCGGCTCACCTCCAACCCTAGAGTTCTAGGACTTCTAGGGAGTCAACACCTTTTTATAGGGAGATTTTTTCACAACTTTGGTATATGTATAATGAAAGATTTGAATGAGGTTTATCGGGCGTAAATTACATTTTTGGACAATATAAGAACATTATTTGTTTAAACAGTATTACTGACATTTGGAGATTTCAAAAAATTAATTAATGAGGTGGGGACAGAGATATTGTAGATAGATTTCAACATATTAGAAATTATAGATATGACTTAATAGGTTTGACACAAACACAGCTAAGTTGTTCTACACTTCTTTGTGTGTGAACTGGGGTTGTGAAGAAAACGAATGATGAGGCCGTTTGGACCACCCAAAATGGGCTGATAAGCCTGAAACTACTAAAAAATCACCAAACAGACCAAGAATTGGCTGTTTGAGCTGATTTTTATGATCAGCTGAAAAGGCAGCATATTGGTTACTTCTTGGCTGTTTTTTATTACTCTAATATGGCAAATTGAAAAGATGCTCTACCCTTCTAAATTGCTGCTTAAGTGCTTAGTCCCGAAGAGATTGCTCCAGGTCAAAATCATCTTGTTCACGTATGTAGTGCTCCAACATATACTTCGTTCCTTTTTTTTTATTCAAGTGTATGTTAACTTTTTTTATGCTTTTTCAAAATTAATGTACTCATATTATTTACAAAAAAATTATAATAATGTTTCTCATTCCAAAAGAAAATTGTGTAAAAAACACGAAGTAATAAATTATTCAAACAATTTTATAATTACCTAATGAAGCAAAATAAATTTACTAGCAAAGTCTTTTTTTTTAAGAATTTACTAGCAAAGTTACACCCATATACTTTTAACACAAATAAGCTAATACCATTTACAGTAATTTTACACTCAATCAGTCATTTCAGCCAACATATTATCAAAAACTTTCACTTGAGCACATTCAATCTATTCAGCCTATTCATTCGTTGCAGCTGTTACCAAACAGGCCCGATATATCAAGGATATGTGAGCCGTACAGTCCATAGATGCTTGCATGTGGTTGAGATATAACTACTTAATGTAGTATTTGCTCCCCGATATATCAAGGATATGTGAGACCCGTACAGTCCATAGATGCTTGCATGTGGTTGAGATAACTACTTAATGTAGTATTTGGCTATTTGCTCATATGTCTGAAGACTATGATCTTCCACTCAGAGTATGCATAAATTGGGTCAAATCGTGAAACTAGACTGAACCGAACTGGAAGCACCAGAGTTGAACAAAACTAGCTAATATGACATCCGGTCTAGAAGTAGGGTATAATACTTTTACCGTTTTACATATAATGTAAATTAATGTTTAAAACTTTAAGAGTATATTGTTTAGCTCCTCATTTGAAGACTAAACATGATAAAAATATAAAGAAAGAACTTATCTAGACTAAGTTTAGAAGTATAGATGAATTGGTCATTTTATTGTGAAAGAAGGGGGTGTATTTTTAAGCTTTTGGGAACTGCAGGGTCTGATACCCGATCGGATATCTTAGAAAATTTCACAGAAAGTCACTTTTCTAGACATACCCGGTTGGGTACGTAGGCATACCCGGTCGGATATGAGCCAAATCTTCAAAATCCTGCACGTTTTTTGTCTCTCCAGATACTGATTTTGACACCCGAATCAACTCAATACCCGATCGGGTATTGCCCATACCCGACCGGGTATATGAAATATTTTGTCAATCTTCTTTTTATCTTGTCCCCTTGCACTTTCCTTGATCTTTTGGGGTCCAATTTTGATCTATCTTGACCTGTTTTAAGATCAGAATAATCCTAATATAAATAAATTACATCTATTTTGAAAAATAAACTAATTACACCAAAAGTGTGTAATTTCTCTAACCACAAACAATAAAATTAATTAAAAGTGAAACAATACATAATAAAAATACGACATTATCATGAGGCAATTACCTGTCATGATAGCTAAATTATACATTTCAAAACTACCTCGAACACAAATAATTCAAGAACCAGATAAATTGACTAACGAAAAAAAGATAAAACTTGAAATAAAAATAAAGTTAACTAGTTTGAATCTTCTTTTTCCAAACCGTCCTAGACACAAGCTCACTCCATGGCGGTGGTTCACAAGAATGTCAGGCCATCAGTACCGTCGTTTGAACATTGAATACCACTCTCGTTGTAACAATTGGTTCACCTTCCTACATGGATGCAACATTCTTACCTTGAGTTTCGATCGATATTCCCTGGTCACGCGAAACCAAGCCACCGCCAAGTCGCCAACCTCATCGCCCATCATCAACCTACATACTTCTAATCTGCCAATTGAGAATATCGCAAAATTGATCTCGCTGGCTTACTATGCGGCGTCCAAATCCTAGAGCCAATTGCCCTCACCTCCGCCGGTTCCATAGATTAGGGCATAATCTTATTTTTAGTTGTGCTCGCTCCGACTTTTTTTTTTTTTGAACGAAGACTAGCCTCTATTCATATCATAAGTTTCAGGATCATTACATCAATCAAAGGAAAAACAAAACTGACACCAACTAGACTCCAACAACTACGACTATAAACCCTATGATGAGCATTAGAAACGGTCACCCCTGAAAGAGCAACACGAATCGCTAACCATGTAATGGGCTTGACACAGCCAAACGTATTCCCATAGATCCAAACATGCTCAATGACATAAAACAAGGCTAAATTCCCAAACAAACTTACAAACCTAACAACATAGACGATAACAAGAAACAAAATGACAAAATAATGAAAACTTATTGGAAAACTTTCACAGACTCTAGCATCTCTCACAACCAATGACGGTGGTTCAGGAGGAGGTCGTATCCTTCGTACCACTCTAAATGATCCTCCATAGTAAATCATCATCTGGCTTGCTCGAAATCCGTACAACTCTCCCCGTCCCGCGCTCGTAGCAAATCTACCGCTAGCGGTCATCTTCATCACTGTCAGGCCCTTACTACCCTGCTCACGAAGAAATTGATCGCCGAACTCTGCCTTCGATGTCTTCAAGCTTGGGTAAGAATTCTTGTCAATCTGCCTCAAATCCAATCCTAGCGCCGGACACAGATGAAGGGGATTCACCGGCCGGAAGAATCAAACCTTATATGTGCTAAGAAAAAACCAATACCTAAACGAGAGACCGCTTGGTGAGTATATGCTTATTACATCCGTCTTGGAGTTTTGATTTCGGGTAGGGGGAATACAGGAGCCTTGGAATGTGGTGGCTCTGACTTTAAAAATTGACCTATGCTCGATTACTGTATTCGCCAATTTTCAATTTTTTTATACTTCTATCTCATAAAATTAGTCAATCTCGACTTACACGTGATATACTAAGTATAAAAAAAAATTTGCGTAATGAAATTTGGGTCAAGGAAGAATATAATAGCATCAATTGTAAATTTACTATTTTAAAAGGAAATGTTAAAAATTGATAAAATTAGTGGGGCAAATGGAGTACTATCAACTTACCAATCATGATTTGATTAAGGAAAACGAAGTTTCTTTAATGTATTTAATTGAGGAAGTGCACATCTCTATGTCGCACGTAAAGTCGTTAATATTCTTCAATAGTAAAAATTTGGGAAACGTTAGGAAGAATTGCAAAAACAAAAAAAACAAGATTAATTGTCACTGTCATATTACCCATACGGATACTCTTGCATTGAATATACTCAATTACGTAGACCTTTTTTTGTGTGATGGAAGGATATTCAATGCTTCATCGACGTGAATCCGTGTTGACCAGTTATGCACTTGGTGCTTTTCCTCAGGGTTTCTAGATTCGTCTGGTCACCCCAATTATGGAAGATCTTCATCATTAGGAATTTTTTCTCGCTCTCCGGCCATAAAGATTTTTCTTACATTAATAAAAGGGTGTTTGCAATTTTAGTCACATAACATTCGCATGTTATCATTATGTAACTTTCATAATTTGATTATGTAACTAATAAGTTCTTCTAACGGAAATTACACTTTCCGACAGAAAAATCTGACGTCAGCGACATATTTTTCGTATACCATCGCCGGAAAGTAAGGCTTTTAAGGGAAAAGTCCGTAAATATATAGCAAATAATAATTAGTTATAGAACCAAATTTGAAAGTTACTAAAGTTACGGGACTAATAACGAAAACAGCTGAAAATTAGGAGACGAAAATTACAAATTTTCCAAATAAAAATAGGATTATAGATTTATTATAGGAGTCTCTTTTTTTGTTATGTTTTGACATTATCTGTAAACATAATAATATATTGTATTCAATAAAAATGTTTCTCAGATTTAACAATTATTATTTGTAAAATAAAAACAAATGTAAAATAAACTTCAATGGGGGGAACACATTCAAATTAATTCTTCAAGATAACTACGCATTTACTTGCACAGTTATCTTCAAGAATTAATTTGAATGTGCTACCGATTGAAGTTTTAACTGAAATTTGGTATGAGTAAACTAGACTTAATGAATAAGATGCTCAAAAAATTTCATCAAAAAATTCCACCGGAAACCGCCACAAATCGCGACGGCCGGACAGATCTATCCTCCTATAAAAGGACTTATTTGACTTTTTTATGAAAGTTCGAGAACCTATTTGACAGTTTTCCCGATTTCAGTGGGATGAAAGACTAATCATTTGACGCTTAAAATTATGGTGGGGGAGTTAAATAGGTATACGGTCTCAGAGAGAAATACTACTTCTGACCCTTAAAATTTTGTCAACTTTCCTTTTTGGATGTCTCACTAACTTTGCTACTTTCCCTTTTTAGTAAAGAATTTGTGGTTCCAGTTAATTCTCTCTCCTCTGCACAAACCTCAACCACATAGTTTTTACTTTATTAATCCCTGTGCCGGTCAAACTTGGCACAGTTTTAAGGGACGGAGGGAGTAATTATATACGGAGTATTTATCATTAAAATAATGATTATGTATAAAAAAAAATGTAACCTCCTATTTATTATGATTATAGTGATAACTTTAATAATAGTACGGAGTAGTAGTTTTTTTTTTGGCGAAATTAAAATTAATTAGCATTAATCAAATCGAAATCCAAAACATTGATGATACAAGTCGGGGGACTATCAATCCAGACCTGACGACCAGACATAGTATTAGTTAATTTATGCTCAATTTTACATTTAAATGGTCGTGAGAGACTATATTATACTACGTATATCCATTCCATGACAAAATGACATGATTATTTAGACAATATTTAAATAAAGTAGTTCGAGTATATTTTGAGAAATAATTTTAATAGATATATAATATAATGAAGTTAGTGTTGATAATTGTGATGTTATAAATGTATCATTTTTAATATTTAATGATTAATTTGTCATTTAAGATGGTTAATTGTTTTCTAAAATGGAAATGAAAACTTTCATATGCATGGGACATTTAAAAAAGAAAGTGGGAACCCTTTTATGGGATGAAGGGAAAATCAATTATTAGTCATACTTTTGTAAACACATTTATTTCAATAATATGTTTGTAAAAAAAAACTTTTTTAAAAACCCTAAGTAGAATTTTAAAACATTTTAAAAAGCTAAGTTGAATTGCCAAAACCTAAAATAACCCGATTGTAAATCTGTCAAGGTGTGGTGATCTCTTAGGCCTTGTTTGGTTCAAAAGAGGGGAGGGAAGGGGAGAGTCAAGGAGGGAAGGGAAGGAAAGAGGAAGCTAAGGAAGGATTTTGATAAAAATTTATGTTTGGTTGGAGGAAATAGGATGAAAGGTTTAATGAAAATATTTTTCCAATTTACCTTTATTTGATAGCTTACTTAAAAAAAATAGATACATCTCTAACTATGGTGAATATTACTCGGTCATGAGTCATAATATTTTTTTAATTTTTTTTAATTTCTAATTTTTTAATCTTTAAATTTTTAAAATTTTAATTTTTTTAATTTTTCTAAACTTTTTATTTTTTTACCTTTTTTATATTTTAACGTTTTGTCCAATCACGTAGGAGATTGACAGTTTGTGGTTATCAACACGTTTCTTCCGAAATACCCCGATTTGGGGGGTTAGAATGGGAGGAAGTGGAGGATTTAGGAAGTTTTCCAATTTCCTCCCTTCCCCGCTATTTCCTTCAACCAAACACACACAAATCCCTCACTCGCCCCCCCCCCCCCCCCCCCCCCCCCCCGAAACCCTCCAACCAAATAGGGTCTTAGGGAGTGTTTGCAACAGCTTGTGCTTTAAAAAATCACTTTTTATCGTGATTTTGAAAAAAGTACTTAATAGTAAAAGTTGGTGGTTTTTGAGAAAAATTAATGTGATTTTGAAAAGTAAAAGTCGGTGGTCTTTAGTAAAATATGTGTTTTTTGTGTAATAGAAAAAGTAAAAAATAAATTGTAGCTTTTAACTTTTTTAGTGTTTGCTTTAAACAAAAATTGTCTGTGAAAATATTTTTTTAGCCTTTTTTTAATACGTCTCTTTTCTCACTTAGGAAGTCTCTTTTCTCCCATAGTCTCATACTCTCATGTGTACAGTTCCAAAACATGGGCACGAATATAAAATACGGGAACTTTAATTTGCACTTTTAGCTCTATAATTTTTGTGTTGGCTAGTCATGTGACTTTATATAATTGAATATACTCCGTATATAAATCTGTAATTTATATTTTTGGGTTGTTACTTGTTAGGAACCTTTTCACAAAAAAAATATGACACTCCATCTCTAAGGCGTAAAGTAGCTTTGTTATCACAAAATGCCATGCAAGTACTACACGTATTTAAAAAGGATTTTTTCATAATAACCCACTTTATAAAGTGTCTATTTTTTGTACTCCCTTCTCTAATAGATGCGAGTATAGGCTTTGGTACAAGATTTAAGAAGAAATTAATAGAGGTAGGATAAAAGGTGTAGTGAATTATGTGTAAAGGAAAAAGTAAGAAAGAGAATGAGTGTAAATGAATATATTTATTGAAAAAACTTACCAAAAATGGAAAGGAAGACAACTAATAGAGAACATCCAAAAATGGAAAGGAAGACAACTAATAGAGAACATCCAAAAATGGAAAGAGGGACAAATATTAGAGAACGAAGGGAGTACTATACTACTCCGTATATATAGTGGCACGTTTTTCAAAGCTAGAACATACGGAGTATATGGGTGCATTTTGAAGATTATTTTGATCGTTTCACATGAGTTTTTTTTTGCAAGAATCGTTTTCACATGAGTTTAAGGGGCGGAGCCAGGACACTGAACCGGTACAAAGAATATTTAACAAAAATTGACGAAATATTTTAGCTTAAAAATTAAACTATTTTTAAAATTTGGGGTGGGCAATGACCTAGGTTGGCCCACCCCTAGCTCCGCCCATGAGTTTGTCTCAATTTGCTCGATTTGTTGGAAATATCTTTTCGACCTTTGTGTCTCTTCAAGCGTTAAAGTTTGGATTCAAATCCTCACATACTTCATAAGGGTTTACTATGTAAAAATGCATAAAACATCTGTAAGTACTTATGTCAGAATCTCACTCATAATTTGTTCTACTCGGATTGAAGTTTAATTTACAACATTTCAATTATTGTCTGATCATTAGGAGCCTCACAGATTGTTACTACCTCCGTAACACAAAGATCTTCCCATTTTGACTTTTCACGGTCTTCTAAGTTGAACTTTGACTCTAAATATCTACACATCTATATTTATAAAATTCATAATAAATTAACATTCAAATAATATGTTTTACAATGAGGTATATAAAATAAATTTTTAATCATAACATAATGTGAGTTTTGAATAATTAATGGTCAAAGTTTATAAAGTTTGACCCAAAAGAGTCAAACTGGGAAGATTCTAGGGTTACGGAGGTAGTATGTCATCCTTAATTTTGAGAAGAAAATGGACATGAATAATAATCCAAATTCCAAAATAGTGCTCTAATGTGGTTGCACCAAACCACCCACGTGGTGTAGTAAAGTGCCCCCTTCTTTCCTATTTCGATGTTAGTCACTCGTTTGACACCACTCAAATTGATGAGTTGTTCCGATCCGTTTAATTATCTCAAAATTTTAGTCTTAATTTTTTCAAATCTCATCTACACCGTAGTTTAATTTAGTTGAACTTTCTGCATTGATCCGATGTGTTTTTGCATTATATATAGACTTCCTTATTATTTCAACCTCCAATCACTCCATTCCGTTTAGAAAGCTTTTAAATTACGTTCACTCGAAAATGTAGTACGCATTGGGATTCCCCTAAAAGGAAAAGATAAGGAAATAAAAAGGATGAATACTTTAAATTTTTCACTTTCTTTTTTTGAAAATCCAATACAATTTGACATGTTTAAATATTCAAAAACAAATTTAATGATTTATATTTATTTGATGAATTCATACAAATATATTAC